TATATTCATTTATGTTTGTAAGTAATTTATTTTCAATTTGCAATCTATTAAAAAAATAAAATAATAAAAATAAATAAATAAAAAACAAATAGCTTCATCCTGTTCTAAGGGAGCCCTAGATATCTGCTCAACTTTGCTCTGCTCAAAAGAAGCAGGCCCTGGGTTCCCTCTGCTGGGAACTGGATCAGTTTCACCCAGAGTGGCTTTTGAGAGTCTAGTAACACTCACTGGCACAGACTGCTAATGTTGAAGGTGGTGTGCACTCCAAGTATAGGAGCTACAACTCAGGAGACACATTTCTCTCAGACAGAATGGGAAGGAGAGAGAAGGCCTGCTTCAGCAGGCACCAGACCTGAGCCTCAGTGGTCTTTCTTCAGCTGATACTGTGATTAGATCCTGGCCAGAACGATAGGCTCACAGGGACGGTGAGATGGCTCAGCAGAATAAGCATTTCCCTGGCAAGCGCAAGAGCCTGAGTTCAATCCCTGGCTGGGGGGCAAACAACCCAGACCAATAGCCTCAGAAGCAGAAGTTAGTTTGCCTCCAGGCCCTCTTGGTCTTCTCACCTTCCCATCTCAGGCTGCAGCACAAGACTGCCAAGATCAAGAGCTTCATAGGGATGCTGAGGCTAGTAGTCTTTGTCTTTGCTCACCCTTCTCAAACTTCCTTAGGACACTGCACAGGACTCCTCCCACTATGCAGATAAGGACAAATCTAAGGACTGAGCTGAGCTGGGAGAAAGAAATCCCAGTACCTTGGGATAGAAAGCAAAAAGAGAAGTACTTTAAATTTGTCAAGCTGGTTATAGCTGCCAAATCTCTTCTTTACATTTACACACTCTCCACTGGTTACAAAAAGCTGGTGGCTCTGCCACACCCACTCAGTTTGCAAATACACTGAAGTTACTTCATCAGCAGCACTGTAGTAAAAGGACTTGGTAAGGCAGCAGGTACTTTCTAAATTCCAGGGATGTGTCAGGACTCCTACACCATGAGGACACAACAGAAGTCAGTGAGGCAGTGGACTTCCTTACAGCCAAAGAGGAATGGAGAGCAGCTCCCCAAGCTCTCGTCACACCCCCCTTCGCAGACCCCACCCCGCAGCGCCTCTCCCATACCCAGCACTGATGGGGGTGATCAGCTCTGTGGCAGTGGTCACTTTGGCTTTCACTGTCAGGATGTTGAGGTTCATGAGGTAGTAGAAAGTCAGGTGAAGCACGCTATCATCTAAAGGGGGAGGAAGAAAAGGAAGGCTCGTTTTATGAGTCATACATGTCAAGCATAGTTGGCAATACTACAGGAAGGAAATTCAGAGGTTTTTTTTTTTTTGCGGAACCGGGGATTGAACTCAGGCCCCTGTGCAAGCACTTATTCTACTGAGCCATCTTCCCAGCCCTCAGAGAGGTTTTTATAATCTTTTACTATAAAAACAAAAATATGAAAAAAAATATGGTAGCAATATAATGTTGAGGGGAAAAAAAGAAAAATCTACAAATTTTTTTTTTTTGGTAGAACTGGGGATTGAACTCAGGCCCTTATGCTTAACAGGCAATCGCTTATTCTACTGAGCTATCTCCCCAGCTCCTACAAATTCTTTAGGCCTCTTTCTCTGCAACAGGTGAAGATTTATTTCCATGCCTTTTTGTGGGCTAGACATGTTGACTGTGCTTCCAACAAATACAGTATGAGAAGAGAGCTCAGCAATCAAAATTAACCCCATCAAAAACAGAGATACCATACGCTCCTGAAACGATAATATGTGCTACTCTTCCCAAAGATCCCCAAACTGTGTCCAATCAAGGTCATGAATGCAAGGACAGAATTGGGAGCCCCTGACTGACTGGAAGACAACATGCAGCATGACAACTACATGCACTGTGAGATCGTGCCTTGCATCTTGAAACAGAAAAAGGGCATTTGAAAAATGAGGAGAGGGGCTGGGGAGATAGCTCAGTAGAATAAGTAGGCTTGAGTTCAATCCCTGGTTCCACAAAAAAGAAAAAAAGGAAAATGAGGAGAATTTGAATAATCTTGTAGATTTGTTAATGGTACTGGCCCAATAAAATTAATATTGGCTTTATGCCAGGCATGGTGGTACACACCTGTAATCTCAGCATTCTTTCTGAGGCAGAAGGATTATCACAAGTTTGAAGCCAATCTGGGCTACAAAGCGAGTTCAAGGCCAGCCTGAACCACATAGCAAAACCCTGTTTCAAAGACTAATAATAACAATAATCACAATAATAATAATGGCTTTGATCATTCTACTCTGGTTAATTAAGATGCTAACACCAGGGAGATTGGGATAAACAGTCTCTGGGAAGGTGAGAGTATAGTTCAGCAGTAGAGCAACTGCTCAGCATGTGTATCTGAGTTCGATCCCCAGCATCATATCACACACACACACAACACACAGAAAACCAGTGTGTGCAGCATGTTGTGTCCAGCATGCTGCCCTGCATGTAAAAAAGGGGTGGGCAATAAATATAATAGATATAAACTTCTAAGCACAAAAGCTTTCTAGAAAATATACACATGTAACAAAGGCCATCGTTGGAGACAAGACCAAGGACTGGCTTCTGAGAGCCTGGGTGAGAAGAAAACTTAAATTTCAACTATTAACTCTTATCCTGCCAGAACACTTTTATTATGTGCTGCTTTTTTCACACAAAACCAGTTTCAAAACATTCTCTGCTGAGCTATATCTACAGCCCTTTAAATTTTTTTTTTTTTAAATTGTAAGACTGGGCTTAAGTTTCTAAATTGCCCAGGCTGGGCTCAAACATGTGATCATCCTGCCTCAGTATGCCACAGAGCACAGTATTGGGATTATAGGTATGCACCACCATACCAAGCTAGTTCATACTTTTATTTATTAAATATGTTGGTTGTATCACTTAAAACCTGCATATACTCTTTGATGCATCAAACTCAGAAAGAGATGCAGTTTTATTGTTTCCCTTATTTATTTATTTATTCGGAACAGAGATTGAACTCAGATCCTTGCATTTGCCAGTCAAGTGCTTATCCTACTGAGCCATCTCCCCAGCCCCTGAGTTTCCCTTATGTGTCTGGAATTCTTTTTTTTTTTTTTTTTCTTTTCCCCCTCATGTGTCTGAAATTCTGTTGCTACGATTATAGCTTTAAAAAAAAAATCAGGGCTGGTGAGATGGCTCAGTGGTCTAAAGCACCTACTTAGAACAAATTAAGCCAATCAAAGCACAGGGACCATGGTTCAATCCCCCAGCACCACATGCCAGCCAGCCCCAC